TGAGGCATATAATGTGTTCTCTCATGTGGCGTGATTACAGGAAGTTAAATGTCTACATCTGTTACATTTCCAGAATCAGCCGCATTGTCATCACATACTGGCTGCCAAACTAAGAGGCATTAAGGATGAGAATATATTTTATATCTTACATAAAAGTAATTACTCCTGTCAACAAAGTTCTTTCAACAGAATACTATAATTTTTATTTGCTGATAGCATTAATGGTTGTTTTTCTTTAAAAACACAAATTGCATATAATTATAGAAGCTAAAGCTGCGGTATACATAATTCTACATATTAACTTGTTAAGTAATCATACCTGATTAGCAACTGCTTAATTTTATATATCTGTATACCTTGTAGACTCAAGCCTTCTTTGAACTTACTGCTGTTACATATGGACAGCTGCAATATGAGTGGCACCCCTGGGATTATGCAATCCAGTAGACTTTTTTGAATCAGTCTCACTTCTTATTAACCTGGTATTCTCCCCAGATAAGTCCTCCTCAAAGGTTGCAATGTAAAAACCCAATTATAAAGGAAGACATAACAGAATAAGAATAACACCTTCAATCTTATTCTAGAGCCCTTTTTTTTTTAAGAGAATTTACTAAGTCGAATCACTAAGTCAGGTTACTCTGAGATATCTTCCAGGGCAGAGAACTAGCATTGCTAAATAAACTCAATGATAAAATGATTCTTAACAAAACAATATTTACCTAGAGTCAACACTAGTATACAAGTATTACCACTGGCTCTTCTAAAACCTTTTTGTAATTAAGATGGAAAGATGTAGCTAGCTCTGGAAAGGCAAATACCCAGTTTATTAAAGCTTTTAGCAAGTTGTCAAAGCTGGGATTTGGGAACAGTAGTAGGTATGTTTTTGAACAGTTATACGTGGATACATTTAGTCAAAATCTATTTAGGATTCCCAGAACTTCTTATCTAAAACATGTGAAATTAACTTGTGAACAGTTACTTTCTAATTCATCTGTTTTACAAATGCAGGTCTTCATATATTGGGGATTATCTTTGAAGTGAATTTTTAGTAGCTACAAGGGAGGAAATATACTGAAAGAAGTAGTTAAAGATAAGCGGCTGCTGCTGGAGCATCTTCTTGTCCCTGTATCCTGAAGGAAGGGCAGGTTCCTGGGATGGGTATCACATTTGTCAGGACTAGTTGTTTTTGTTGTCATTGTGGTTGTTTTTACATATAAATGTTCTGGAATTAGTCCTGAGGATCAAAGATATTGTCTCTGCACTGAATACCAAATTGTTTCTACTAAGCTACAATCTCTTATTAGTCACCATTCAAGAAGCACATTTAGTGCATTTAATGCTATAACCTGTTGCCTTGATTTCGCAATAAAAGTCTGCTGTGGCAGTGTTTTTGTTTTAAATTAAACTTTTAAACATCATGAGCCTGCTAAAAAAATTTTTTTCTTTTTTCCTAATTTTTTAGTTTACCCCACCAAGGATTCTACTTGCATGTAGTTTAGAACAGGAATTGCACATTTTCTGTAAAAGCCGAGATAATAAGTATTGTAGGCTTTGCAGGCCATACAGTCTCTGTCACAACTGCTTGACATTGTGACATAGTGCATCCATAGATAGTATGTAAATAAGTAAATTTGGCTATGTTCTCATAAAACTTTATTTTAAAACAGACAGCAAGTGAGAACTGGTCCTGGGCCAGTTTGCCAACCACTGGTTTTGAGAATCAAATACTTCTACAAGATTCTTTTTGTGAAAATGACAGCTGTCTATTAGTCCTTCCCCACTTTCAACTTCCATTGATTCTTGTGGAATTTACTCCCACATCACTATGTTTATATTAGTACATTTTAAGCATTAGCTTTTGACTTCCTGCTGGTCTATAAGGATTTAGATATCTTTCCTTCTCCAGCCCCTGTGTCATAGATCTACTCTCCTTATCCCTTCCATCCTCCTAATATACTTGGGTCAAATTTAGATGAGATGAACATTTAGTTGTTATGTTATTTTGATAGAGTCATGCAGTGAGTGATTATTACTTTTTCTTTTCTGCGTAATATTTCTATTTTCTGTAGTTTATAATTGTTAATTTTGTTAGTTTTCTGTCTTGTCTCTAGTGTAACACCAAACTCCTCATCAGTCATTGAATTCTCCTCTCAAGATATTTAATACACCAGGTATTCTAAATCTAAATCTAAATCTCCTGTCACCATCCTGGGGATTCCTTTTACCTGGGGTTTCTTATATCCCATGCCTTCCTCATTCGTTGTATTGTTGTATCCTGCCTCATTTTAGTGAAGCTAGTAGATTCAAGGGAGGTTCAAGGGATGTAAACTTTTATATACCTTGCATGTCTAAAAGTACTTTTATTCTTCTCTAGTTTGGAAATCATTTTCCTTCAGAATTTTAGAAGCATTACTCTCTTATCTTTTGACCTCTAATTCTGATTCCCGAATTTGTGTGTGTCTGTGTGTGGTTTGGTTTTATTCTCTCTGAAAGCTTGTATACCCTAATATTCTGATGTGACTCTGTTTTCATATATTGTATTGAGCCTTTTCAGTCTGAAAAAGCGTGTCCTTCATTGGAAGTTCTGTGTTACAGCTTTTTAATTTGCTTCCTATAAAACTCAAATGGGCAATTTTGACTCATACTTTCAGCAGCCCAGCTTGTCACTGAGTGACTCAGGATACTAGCAACAAACTTCCTTCCCAGATTTTCTCATATCTCTCTGAAGTAAATAAAATGAGTATGAAGTTCTGTGTTGCATCAGTAAACCCTGCAAGGGAATGAAGAAGCAGAGAATTGACCTAACACTGTACTTAATGAATGGACTGCATTTCTTGGAGAAAATTGAACAAAGACAACATCTAAGAGTCAGAATCAAGGCTTAGTTTCTGTAAGGCTGCTGTAACAAAGTACCATAAATTGGGTGGTATAAAATAACAGAAATTTATTCCCCCATGTTTCAGGAGGCTGGAAATCTGAAATCAAGGTGCCAATAGGGCTATGTTTCCTCAGAAGGTTCTAGGAAAGAACCCTTTCTTACTTCCATCTTCTGGTGATCCTAGGCCTTCCTTGGCTTGTGGCAGAATCAGTCCACATTTCTGCCTCAGGTTTCTTCCCTCTTTGTCTCTCTGCCTCTGTATCTAAATGTCCTCCTTATAGATTTAGGGCCCACCGTAATCCAGTGTGATCTCCTTTTAGTTAATTACATCTGCAAAGACTCTGTTTCCAAATAAAGTCACAGTCTGAGTTTCTAGTTGGACATGAATTTAGGAGAGATAGTCCTCAACCCGGTAGACACGGTACTTAGACAGCAAGTGGTCCTGGCACATGATTTGCACCAGATAGAATTTAAAGGAGTTATTCTATGAGTGGCCTTACCTAAATAAATCCTCCAAACAGAATAGTTTGCAAACTGCTGTCATCTTGCTCTTACTAAGGTATTCATATGTTTGTATTACTGGGGGAGAGGGGAAAGCCTTATATTGGGCTATTGACAATGAAGGGTAAATTTAAAATAAAGACATCTGAAGCTGGAGGTCTACTTCCACACACTAGTGAAATTTATTCACTTATTTTATGGAATGTTTATTGAATGCCAACTATTACCAGTTACTGTTCTAGGCATCTTCAGCAGTGTGGAAGACAAAGTCCCTGCCTCACAGATATGAAAATATTTGCACTGGCATGCAATTTTAAGTGAGGTGAAGTAAATGAAGAGTGATGGAAAGTATTGTGTTAGTTCAGATAACATTTGAGCAGACACCTGAATATAACGAGATGAAGAGCCATGTATATATTTGGGAGTCGAGAAGAGCTTGCAGTGAAATAGCCTAAGCCTCAGAAGGCAGTAAAGCTTAAAGGAGAACAGATAGGGGAATAGCATGGTCTGGTTACAGTTCAAAAATTCTCTGTGACTGCTCTAAGGAAAATTGGTTGTGGGGGAGCATGATGCAGAGGAGAGTGATGAGCTTATTATAGGTGAGAGCTTATCTCATTGGTCTAGGTGAGAGGTGTCGGTGATGTGGTCAAAGATACTAAGAGTAGAAATGGTGAGAAGTGACTGGTTCTGGATGTATTTTGCAGATGGAACCACAAGATTTGCTGAAGAATTTATTGCAAGATGTGAAGGAAGGTGAAATGTGATGGAAGAATCCTTAGAGCTTTAGGCCTGAAGAGTCAGAAAAATTAAAATTACATACAATAAGATAGGAAAGGCCAAAGTAGAAGGTTTAAAAAGAAAAATCAATGAATTCTCTCTTAACATGTCAAGTAGGTGGTTGGATATATGAGTCTGGAGCTCAAGTTAAACTGGAGGTAAAAATTTGTACATTGTCAGCCTGCAGATGATATTTAAAGCACTTGGCCTGAATTATTAATTTTCTAAATTCATGAATACATTAAATATTATACATAATCTGTTCCCATTCAGTCATCAACAAATGTTTGTAAAGTGTTGGCTGTAAGCCATGCACTGTGCTGGAACGTTCTGAGAATACAGTAGTGATATTAGACATTCAGCATAAAAATATATAGCATTAGATAATTTCTAGGTGTCTATTAAATGGAACTTCAAACATTACAGTAGTCATAAGTTATATCACCTAGCTTGGTACTGATGTGTTACTTGATTCTTTCATATTAATTTAGTCTTCATAAATAGATCTTTTAAGCTCTTTGAAAGCAGGAGCTATATTACACGTGTTTTAATATCACACCTGATGCCTACGACAATTCTGGAAAGATATTAAGTACCCACAGAATATTTATAAACTGACTACATAATAAATTTAATTGTTCAAGGGCAGTACTATTTTTGTCAGCATGATTTTGATTTATCTCTAGTGTGGACTTATCTAATAAGTGACTTATCTAATAAGAATGTTAACAAATTCCTGTTCCCTGATTCTGATATTTAAAAATTATTATGGATTTTATTTTATTTACTTCTTAATGGTGCCATGTAGGTTTTATTCCTATGTGTTTATTGTTTCAATTTGCAGCCTGATTCTACTGCGACTGAAAGAGCAATTGCCAGACTAGCAATGCACCCTCTTCTGAAGAAAAAAATAGATGTGCTAAAAGGTATGAAATAAATGATTTTTTTTTTTTTGAGGAAGATTAGCCCTGAGTTAACGTCTGCTGCCAATCCTCCCCTTTTTTGCTGAGGAAGACTGGCCCTGAGCTAACATCCATGTGCCCATCTTCCTCTACTTTATATGTGGGACACCTATGACATCATGGTGTGCCAAGCGGTGCGTATGTCTGCACCCAGGATCTGAACCAGCAAACCCTGTGCTGCCAAAGTGGAACATGTGAACTTAACAACTGCGTCACCGGGCCAACCCCATTAAATGACTTTTAAACCATGTACTTAAATGCATTTGTGTGTATGATTTTAAATAAATGGCTATTCATTTATTTATTTTTATGGTTCTTTTTCCTTTTGAAAAAGGAAATATATAATGGTTCGTTTCCCTTGTATATTATAAATGCCTCTTTCATGTATTTCCAAATGTAGGAAGGTGCCTGAAAATATGGAAAGTATCTGATGTCTGAAGAAAAACTAAATCTGTACTTTTTCCTTAATTTTAATATATGAATATATATGTTATATATTCATATATATTTATGGTGATATTGAGTACAATTGATTTTCTAAATATTGATATAATTCATATTATTACTTTTGATGTTGCCACTTAATCACATAGTTTTTATGAGTGTATTATAAAATGTATTGAAAGAATTATATGATTTTGTAACAGATTAGAAGATATTTATTTTTGTGTCTGAAAACACAATTTATAATATCCTACAATCATATCAATGCATTATTCCTATAGAAATTAAAGTTGCCATTTCATTTATTTGTATTCAGTGAAGTTTTTAATATTCTTCATAATGCCAAGATGTGAAAGGAAGATTTTCTTTTAATTTTAGAGATTTAAAATGGATACCTCTGAGCATTTCTTATAAGTTTAGTTTGTAAAAAGTCAATAGATTTCTTTGTACCTTCACACTCATTATACATATTTAGTATAAATTCCAATTTTCCTCTTAAGTATTTTCAAGTAATTTTAGAAATACTGTAATGAAACAGTGGTATTTTATAGTATTTGTTTTAATACTAAAATAAGTCATATTCTATTTCTCTTGTAGCTGCTGTCAAAGCCTTTAAAGATGCAAGACAAAATATTGCTGAAGTTAAGTCATCAAAGAATGTTTCAGAAGAAAATCATTCCAAGGACACTTTGTGTTCAAGTGATGATGCCAGTAAGTTACAGCATAAAGGAACTATTATCAGTGAGCAAAAAGAGAAAGAAGCCAAAATATTGGCAAAGAAACCAATAAATAATTCAAAAGAAAAAATAGTCAAGATGAAACATGAACCCAAAGTAGTGGATATTCCAAATTCCCCATCAAAACCTTCTGAAAAGGATTCTGTCGTTCCCTCTGAACCCCAGAAGACATCTACTGACCCCAAAATGAACACGTTAAGTCAAACCGAAAAAAAGAAAGAGTTTGATAGCTCACTTGGTAGTGACAGTGATGGAGAAGATTTACATGAAGAAGAGAAAGAGGATTTTGATGATAGCACAGAAGAAAGGTTTTACAAACAATCTTCCATGTCTGAGGATAGTGATAGTGGTGACGACTTCTTCATTGGGAAAGTCAGACGGACAAGAAAGAAGGAAAGTGGTTGTCATTCTTCAGTTAAGGAACAAAAAAAACCCCAAAAATTGTTACCTGAAGAAGATATACTTGAAACTCATCAAGATATAAGAAATGACAAAAACAAGCCAAGTACAGAAGCCAGAAAGTTTGAATCAGTGTTTTTCCATTCTTTATCTGGATCTAAAAGCTCTAGAAGGTAAGAGTATTTTTCTATTCTGAAGTAGTTATTAGTTCTTACTTTTTTTAGAGATTTGAAATATCTACACATCCTAACAATGGCATACTATCTCCTATACATAACTCTAGTTTATATAATACATCCTGTGTTTAGACTTGGCCCTCTTCACATTTACATTGAGATAATATAATACTCGTATAGTAGTGCCACACTTATCCAGTGTCAGAAAATGAGATGTTATAGCCAAATAATTTGTCTAGCTAATTTAACTTTATCCCTTCAGTTATCAAAGTTTTGAAACTTTGAGTTAGCTTTTGATGAAAAGCTTTTAGAAATGTCTCACAGACCTCACTCTTTAAAGAGAACTTTCTGAAAAGAATATAGTGGTTTTTTTCCTTGATGACCCAGGGCCGTTATTGTAAACATTGTATTCTTTTTGTTGCAGTCTATAAGGCTGCTTGCCCTAATACTGAGTTTCTCCACACTGCTTTATATTTGATGATGCTGCTGTCTCATTCCCTGCTGTGGACCAGCGCTTTTCACAGCTGTTCTGCTGTAAATCGATAAATTTAATTTCATTTGTAATTCTAATCTGGAAGGGGATATCTTCACATTTTAGGGTAAAGATCGTGGTTAGCTAATTTCATTAACAGCTATTTTCTTCAGTAAATTACTTTTCTGTAATTTATAGGCCGGGGATAATTTTTAATAGATTTGAGAAATGTTATGTTGAAATTTTTCAAAGAAGTCAGAGCATAGAAAAGACACACAACCATCTTTCAACCTTGAAAACAATTAAATTATTACTTATATCTCCTAAACCTGCCTCAAAAGGCTACAATTTTTGTCTCTTGAAAATAACACCACTATCCCTTCCTTCTCCCACAAAATATAAATCTTAACTTGAGTTGTATGTGACTTATTACAGCTGTGAGAAGACTTTTGAAATTCTTTGTCTAGATAGTTCTCAAGAGTAGGTACAAGGGAATCAAGATAGGATATTTTATGACCAGAAGTCCTATAAGGATGGTGAGAGGAAAATTCCTACATGCTTCTGTATTGGAGTCTAACAAACCTTTGATTTAGCTAAAACCTGGGATTTTCATAATTTTTTTTATTGATTGCTGGTGGGATGAGGGAGTATGATAATCTTTTGAGTGAGTTTTATTATACTACGTTCTTAAGGTTAGATGATTTATCTTTTAAAAGTCCTAATGGTGTTTTTATTTTAGGAATTATAGAGAACAGGCTCCGAAAATCAAAACCCCAGGTACGTATTACTGACTGCTTGATCTCCATATGCAGTTGAGTAACGCTTTGCCAAAGTGGAAGGATGAAAAATTCTGGTTGCTTAATAGCATGAATGAATTATGTACTGAGGAAATGGAAACAGAGCAGCTTTTATCAGTATAATTTTTTTTTCCCGTATGTCCTGCCAGTGGGAAAGATATAGACAAAACTTATCAGGAAATACTAGGTCTATTTAATTTATCTTGAACTAAATCAACACATTCTTTAAGTAAATTATGTAAGTTTTATCTTAGTCAATGCCATGCCGTTAAACATTAAGTAACAAAACAAGTATGTTACTTTCTGGGTTAGTAGTAAAAGTATTTTCAGATTAATTTGTAACAAATTAAGTTTAATATATTTGGGTAGGCTCACCTCTGTATATAATCCCATACTCTCACTGACTTAAAATAATAAAAATGTATTTCTGACTCATATCACAGTTCACTGTGAATCGGCCGAGGGCCTATGTTTCACAGTCCTTCAAGGATCGGGCTCCTACCATCTTTTGGCTCCTTCCTCCAGTTCCCAAGTATTCTCCATTTGACCAACAGAAGGAAATAGAGTACATGGAGAATTTTGCAAGAGGTTTTCGTGGGCCAGGCCTGAAAGTAGCAGGAATCAGTTCTGCTCACATTTCATTAGCCAGAATTCAATTACATGATGTTATCTAGCCACAGAAGAGCTAAGAAATGCAGCCTAACTGTGGCTAGAAGGAAAAAGAAAGTGGAATTTCTTGAACACATAACCGTCTGCCACTGACCATCCTGTCGGTCACCAGATGCCTATTTCACTTTTCCTCCCACACATAGAACACACTTACCTCCTTCCCAAGGAAGCCAACCCAAAGTCGCATCCAGTCACTGCATCCAGCTGAAAGCCCAGGATCACAGAGTGACGATGCAGTGCTTTCCATCAGATCTGATGGATGTGATTACTCAGAGTTTGGGCTTATGCACTAAAAAGACAAACTGCCTGCCTCCAACTCATACCGAGTATTTAGTGGCAGAGCGGGGACGAGGTACCCACAGTAAAAACTCTCAGTCAGTTAAGGGGAAAATAGGAGGCACACAACATGTCTGAGCGAAAATTGTGAAGGATCTGAAAGGAACTTCCTTACCCATTGTTCTTCTCCGTGGTCCCTGACTGTCCTCTGGGGGGGTCTTTGTGCCTTGGCCACATCTGAAGCATACATTTAGTACGATCTCCTTGGGGATTGCCCTAAGTGACTGATAAACCTATATGGTCCTGAGGATGGTTTAAAGTCTTAACAGTCAGAGGTTTTTTTCCAGCCCAGTCTTGTGATTCCCTTCACAATATAATTCCCTCCAAAGCTTAGTGGATTTCTGACCTCTTTGTTTTCACTCAGTTCATCCATGAGCTTGTTACCACACCAAAACGTCTTTCCTAGAGCTGGTTCTCACAATTGTCTTATTTATGTTTATTTTATGTAAGAAGCCCTTACATGGGTTTTTTTCCCACCCCCACTGTCATTCAGTGTCTGCTGCATTGAAACTCTCGGGTTTGGTTGAGAACGCCATACCTTTACTCTTTCCTCTGCTCCAGGGCTGAATTCTGTGGGCCTTTACTGCTTAAAATCTGTCTCAGTCTTATCTCTTACTGTTTGGAATCCAAAGGCTTTCTAAGTCTTAGGTTCCCAAATATCTGGACTCTCTCTTCCCTTTAGCTTCTGCCCATGCGCTGGCCGATTTTTCCCTAAACTCTTCTCTTTTTTGTAGTACATTGCCAAAGACCTATCAGTACACTAATCTTTTTATTCTTTCCAATCACTTAACCTGATGCTGCAGACTCCAGAGGTGTGCAGCCTGCTTCCCAAGTTTTCACTGGCAGCAGTTTGACCTGTTTCTGTAGCACATAGGATTGCTCACTTTTCAGCCTCAGATATTCATTTCCTTACCACCTGCCACTAAACTGCTAAGCCAATGCCAAAATTTTTTTTTTTTTTAAGATTTTTTATTTTTCCTTTTTCTCCCCAAAGCCCCCTGGTACATAGTCGTATGTTTTTAGTTGCGGATCCTTCTGTTTGTGGCATGTGGGACACCACCTCAGCATGGCCTGATGAGCAGTGCCAAGTCTGCGCCCACGATCTGAACTGGCAAAACCCTGGGCCACTGAAGCGAAATGTGCGAACTTAACCACTCGGCCGGCCCCGCCAATGCCAAATTTAATGGCCTTCAGAGTACCACTTCAGTATTATTCATAGTAGACTATCTGCTGTAACAAATAACTACCAAAATTCGGTGATGTATTTCTCATTCATCACAGTATGTCTGCTCCTTGCAGTCCCCTTCCATCTTATGCCTCTAGGAGGTCTGTTTCTCTTTGCTCGTTAGGAAAGAGAGAGACTAGAGGACTGAATGTGAGGTTTGTATGGTCACACCTTTTTTTCACATTCCATTTTCTGTAACTCAGTTACATGGCCTCATCTAACAGTAGCAAGATGAGAAATACATTCTGATTCTGCACCTAGCAGTAAAAGAAAACTAGATTTGGCAAACACGTGACCATCTGCCTCATTTACCATATATTCATAAACATAGGATAACTGTAAACTTAAGACATTCCCACATTTTCCCAGTGAGGAGACCCAAGTAAAAAGGTTTTTGTTTGGTTTTGCTCAGCTTATATATTTATAATATTTCATTTATCAATTTATTGATGATACAAGTTTACTTTGCTTAATTATATAAAACATGTTCATTTAGAAATACAGCCTTATTTAAATCTCAATTTTCATGAAACAGTGTCACTTACCGTTTAAACTCCTCATCCTTCATTACTAGAGCCATGCTGAGTATTATAACCGCTTTGTAGGGCACATGTGATTTGTACAAAATACAGGACATTTTGAATCTGTGTACAGTGATGTTTTGGAAATGTTATCCCAAACTGCGTGCACTTGTTTAACATTATGATATTTGGTTTTTAAGGAGATCTTTAAAAGGCTTTTGACTATGATGTCTAACTTGCAGTAGAGAAATTATCCACCCCTAGGACTGATTAATAAATCTATATTAAATTTTTTGCCTCCCTTGTTCTTTCTAATTCTGTAAATATGCATTGATTCATGTCTTTTCAGACTGGTATGCCACCCCCAAATAGTAGTTTGTTCACAATAAGGCAATTGAGGTTCCTCATGCTGTAAGAGGCTGGTAGGGACTAAAATGCAAGTTGCCACCCTCCTATCTGGTGGGTAACTGTATGATTAAAAAGCACTTTGTCTTATATTTGAATAGATTTAGTAATTTACCTTGTAATCACAACTTACACATTACAAGTAATTTACCTTGCAATCAATAACAAAAAGGAATGGAATCAGTTAATAGCTCTTTAAAAATAAATCTGTCCCATCCACATTGTCAGATCCAATGTCTTGGTAAAACGTGAATTTTCTGGCTACGTCTGCTCCACTCATAGATGTCATCAGCTAATGATATTCCTTTGAAAATACAAGATGCGTTTTTTTTTTTTGGCCTTCCATGTTGTCTGGGTTGTTTTGCCTTTCTTAATGTCAATGTAAGTAAGACAGCGTAGCATATATTAGGAGGCACACAATAAAACATCTGTTTACAAGGATTAGAAAGCATGTGTCCCATAATTGCCGTCTCACGTACATTTCAACTTCACACTGTTCCCTGTTGGACGTAAATTTTAAATTGTGAGGTATTCTATTTAAGTAAGACTAAATTTCTTTCTTAAATACTGATTTCAGAAGATGAAGTGTATTTCCCTTGTATGCTATTTAGGTATATAGTTTGTTTTTTTTCTTTCTCCTCCCAGGTTTTCAGCAACATGAGCCTCAGATCAAGAATCAGTTTAATAAGAGTACACAAAGAGGACTTCAAAATACAAAACAACAGTCACAGCTGCCTCTTCATCCTTCATGGGAAGCAAGCAGGAGGCGGAAAGAACAGCAATCTAAAATTGCTGTGTTTCAGGGGAAAAAAATTACATTTGATGATTGATTAGTACCATTTTTGTGAACTTTTCCATCTAAAAATTATTTTCTTTATTTTTTTTTAACCAGCTCATTATTTAAACTTGTATTTGAATAAGTCTCTTTGGAAGGGTCATAGAAACAAGTTTGTTTTCGTCTTTATTTTGCTTTTTAAGTGTGTTCAAGTTATGCTTGTATAAGCCTTCCATAAATCAAATACATTCTTAAATTGATTTTTAATAATATGGCCAGGCTATTCTCTTTATCTCTAAAAGAATTTTGGAATTACAGCTATCTCAGATTTTCTTATTTGTGCTTATCATGAAGTGTGTTTCACTGGTTTATGTCTATATTTCTTTGCCTTGAAAATAAATGCCAAGGTATATTTAAAATAATAATGGAAAAATATGAGGAAATAATAGCTGTTTAAAATAGATCATATTTGCTGTCATTCTTGTTAGCAAAACAAAAATTCTAACTTTTATTATGGGTATACAAGTAGTAAATTATACAAATAAATATTAATTTTTATTATAGTTTTAATTATTTGTGATCTTGTACTTTTTGACTGTTTTAGTTTCCCAGGACAGTTTTGGATTTCTGAAATATACTTCAGTTATTTAGACAACATACTGTTTTAAATATAGCAACACAACCAAAAATTCGTTCTCTATTTCACTGCGTGTAAATATTTCTGTTGAATCAAGAATGTGTAACATCTCTTTATTTGGCCACGTGTTCTTATGGAAAGGTTTTTTGAGGAATGATAGTTTGGAATTTATAAGAACCAATTCTGAAGGAGGTATGATTGAAAGAGCAATTCCACTGAGAGCTGAGCAGAGAGGTTATGAGATGACTCGCTGAGGAAAGGACTACCTTATACTTAGTACTGTTATTCAAAAGGAAAACAAGATTTTAAAACCCTTTCACGTGCTTCACTTTTCGCTATTCCGTGAGAAATTAAAGGTTGTTAGTTAACTAAATCATTCTAACTAAATTCCGTGTTTTCTATGCATTGGTGCTGTTAATGGCAGGGAACACCTCTGGTTAGAAGGAACTCACAAGCTCTGGAGAATCATTTCTTTTACAAGAGCTTAAGAATTTAGATAACTAGAGCAATGAAATTCAAGAGATTATGCAGAAAGAAAATTATTTTTTCTGTGTTGAGTACAAATTTTTTTTTTCTACCTCTTTTTTCTTTTAAATTTTTATTGATATAATTTCAGTTATGTCAAATTGAAATTAACTTATATTAATTTTAATTATGAAAAATTATTACAAGAAAAGTGAAGACGTCTGACAGTAACTGCAGGTTTGGAGGAAGGGAAAGGGGGGAGGGAAAGGGAGGAGGGTTCCCCAGATACCGTCAGGTTCAAAAATATGCTAGAAAAACTCCCAGAACTCACTGAAACCTATTATATTCACAGTTATAGTTTATTCTGGGGAAAGGGTACAAATTACAACCAGCCAAAGGAAGAGATGCATGGGGCAAAGTCTATGAGGGTTCTAAACGCAAAGCTTCTGTTGTCCTCAGGACACGTTTCTATCCTGGCATGAGTATGCACAGAGTATTGCCAATCTAACAAGCTCACTCAAACTTTAGTGTCCAGAATTTTTATTGTGACTTCAATATGTAAGCATGATTGTTGGATTGCCTGCATGATTGCACCAGATTGATGGTACCACATGACTCAAACCTCCCATTTTAAATCACATGGTTGGTCTTTGTTAGTGTAGCCAGCTCCTACCCTAAACAAAGACACTTTTTTTCAGGTATGACATAGATTGCCTCTAAAAAGCCAAGGGCTTTGGACAAGGCCAAGATCTTTAGTACACAATACCCTTCACCCAAATTCCCCAAATATTAACATTTTACTCCATTTGCTTTATCCTTTGCTTTAATCCTCCCTCCCTTCCCCTCCTCATTGTCTTTCTCCTCCTCTTCTTCCTTTTCTTCTCTTTGTCCCTCTTTCTCCTCCCCCTCTCCATTTGCTCTCTTCCTCTCACCCTTTTCTCTCCCCATTTCTTTCTTCTTTCTCCTCTCCCCTGTTTATATTCTCTCATTTAAAATAAAGTAATTCGCTATTCTCTTGTATTACCACAATCCAGTTATCAAATATTCAGATTTTTTCAGTTGTCCTAATGTCGTTTTACAGCAACAGAATATTCAGCAGCATTCAGTTGTCACCTTATATTCAATTGTCATGTTCCTTTAGTTGGGAAATTTCCTGAGTCTGTCTGAGTATTTTATGACACTGATATTTTTCAGAAGTACAGGCCAGTTTATTTTGCATTGTCCCTTTATCTGGGTTTGTCTAATGTTCCCATTACTAAATTCAAGTTACGCACTTTTGGTAGGAATGTCACAGAAGGGATGTTGTATTCATCCCAGTGCATACTATCAGGAGGCAAATGATGTTAATATGGCCCATTACTGGCAATGTTAACTTTGCTTACTTGTTTTAAGTGGTAGCTATGAAGTTTCTCCACTGGAAAGTTACTGTTTTTCTCTTTGTAATTAATCATTATCTTGTGGAGAGATACTTTGAGATTATGTAAATATCTTGTTCTGAAACTTTCATGTACTGGTTTGTTTGTTTTTTTTTAAAGATTGGCACCTGAGCTAACACCTGTTGCCAATCTTCTTTCTTCTTCTTCTCCCTAAAGCCCCCCAGTACAAAGTTGTATATTCTAGTTGTAGGTCCTTCTGGTTGTGCTATGTGGGGTGCTGCCTCAACGTGGCTTGATGAGTGGTGCCATGTCCACCCCCAGGACCTGAACCAGTGAAATCCTGGGCCGCCGAAGTGAAGCACGTAAACTTAACCATCCCCATTGACTAGTTTTAACATTCATTCATGATGCTTCTCTGAAACAGTTACTGTGATAATAGTTGTAACTGGTGACTTTTTAAAAAAATTTCTTCTTGTTTCTGCATTTATTAGCTGGCTTTTTATAATGAGGAAGAGTTTCCCTTTCTTTCCTATTTATTTAGTTTTTAAGTTTGTTTCGGGATGATCTCATGGATTGCTCTTTTATTTTGTATTTTTTATTAATTGAGTATTTTTTATTACTTCATTTTGTCTATTATTGGCTTATAAGTTTTATAATACACATTTTTAATTTATCAAAGTCTAACCTCAAGTAGTAGTATACCACTTTACATATGGTGTAAGTACCTGACTACAGTACACTTCAATTTCCTTCCTCCCAGCCTTTCTATTATTGTTTGTATACATTTTGCTTCTATACATAACCCTCCAAAACATTTTTATTGTTTTTGTTGTAATACTTTGTCTCTTCATCATATTCATATTTTTCTCTAATTCCTTGAACATATGGAACATTAATGGTTGTTGTAATGATCTTGTCTTCAGTGGTTCTCAGCTTGGGGCACTTTTTACCCCTAGGAGACATTTGGCAAAGTCTGGAGGTATTTTGGGTGTCACAACTGGGGAGAGGGATGCTACATCTAGTGTATATAGATCAAGGATGCTGCTAAACCTTCTATAGTATATGCAACAAAGAATTATCAAGTCTAAAATGTCAACAGTGCTAAGGTTGAGGAACCTTGGTCTAGGGCCCATTTGGCCCCACTACTGAGGGATTAGCCTTCTAAGAACTCTACCTAATGCTTTGTTTACTAGGAAATTTTTCTGTTGTGTCTGATGAGAACACACACTATACCTGGGCCTGTGTAAGCTCTTGGGGTTGTTCCATTAACTCCTTTCTAGTGACTTTTTTCCCCTGGCCTTGTGAGATTCTTTATATGCATTGCACAGGTCAGTCTATTACCACAGACTTGAGGGGACCCTCCTCTAGATTTCCAGAGCACATTCTATTCTGTCTACCTCTGTCCTCCAGTATTTTGCTTCACAAATTCTAGTCACATTAACCTATCTACATTCTGAACTCTGTCTCTTCAATAAGGCCACTGGGCTATTTTGGGGTTCCTTCCCCCTGCATTACAGTTCATAAATTCCTCAGGCAGTGAACTGGTGCACTTGTAGCACTCAACTCCTTTGTTTTTTTCTCAGATGTTACTGTCCTGTACTGCTTTTTGTTCATTGTCTGAAAACATTGCTTCATGTATCTTATCCAGTTTTCTAGTTGTTTAATGTAGAAGAGCAAAGCTAGTCCCTGTTATTCTATAATGGTCATAAATACAAGTCTCTTGTTTATTTTGATATTCAAATTATCCTTAATTTGACTAGTGGGAGCCTCCTCAAGCTGTCTTCTCTGTCCTTCTGACATCTAAGTCCTTTCTCTAACAGTGAGAAAGATGGTTCCCATTATTCACGGTATATTTACTTATTTTCACAACCCTAGAATACACAGAAGTTAGTTTCAGAATTGCTTACTGCTGCCTCTGTAAAACAGAACCAAACTTCAATATATCCTTGGAGGTCTTTTTTTTTTTTTTTAGCTTGAGGGCATTATGGTCTTAAAACTAAGTTTGAAAGTTACCTTGGATAATGTCAGCAAAAATGATGGAGTAAGGACATCCAGAAATCCTCACCAGAAAAGACCAAGAGAAAAGTGTCCATATTGTCAGAATCACCTTTTTCAGAACTATGGAATTAACCAAAGGCTTACAACAATCTAGGGAGTATTATCCAAGAAAAATGGCTGAATCTTGATAAGAACAGTTACCTTTGTGACATTTTAACTTGCCCTATTATCCGCCATTCTCCAGATCCGCCATTCTCCAGATCCAGCCCACAATCACTATGAAAACCAGCAACTTGACAGCCACTGGAGAAAGCCAAACAGGATTGGAGCTTCTTCAAAGACACCTTCCTTGAGAATTGTAATTATTTGACCAGTTTGGTAGTTCACTGGAAGGACCCCTCTTGCAGGTCTGTCTTCATTTGACTTAACTAAGAGTTTGCCTGGTATGAAAAGCCATTTTCCTGAGATCACTTTTTGAGAACAATTAGAGGTAATTGTTTAACGTCATGGCTGCCTGAGGCAATGAATAACAGTTGGGACAAACAAGAAGTTAATCAAAAAACTTGAAAGGAAATTTGGAGAATTCAATATCCTTAGGGACTTTGATAAGTTCTGGCATATTTTGGGGGATTGAGGAAGTCACACACATGCATAGGGGCACATGTTCAGGAAAGAGCTGAGAAGGCCCTAAACTCAACTCTGGCTGATCCTGAGACTGCACAAGCAGGAAGTGAAGGCTAAGGTGGAGTTGTCAACTTCCTGACTAAGTGTTGAAGGTGTACTCCAACACACACACATAGCCTATCAGTGAAATCAGAGAAATATTTATTTCAGGTATTTAATGAAATAACTGTCCAGTTATTAGTGCACCACTAAGCTAATGAAGCAGAGATTTTAAAGGCGATACACAACAAAAAATAAAGGCTTCACAAAAATAGTTTGAAAAAGTCACTAAACAACAACAACAAAAATAGCAAGAACAAGCCCTGGGAACAACTGAATATTTGATTTCCAGAGTTGCAACATTATATTATTTTAAATGTCTACTTTTCAACAAAACATACAGCATACACAGAAAAATTATGACCCATAGACAGAAAGAAAAAAGCAATCAATAGAAACTCTCCCAAGGAGGCCCAGGTTTTGGATTTATTTGACAAAGACATTAAATAGGATATTTTAAATATGTTCAAAGAACCAAAGGAAACCACAC